ATTTTAATTTTCATTAGGGATTTTTCTGCCTCATTAAATACAATCAAGATATAAAGAATACAATAAATAAAAGATAAGTATTTTTAATAAGAAAATTGTACACCCTTCTTCTCCCCTATCACAATCCTATGAGAATTCCCTAGGCCTGATGATCTCAGTCTGAGAATCCCAGAATGCTAATCTCTCCCTGGGTCACAAACTTCTACTGTAGCTAAATAGTTGCCTCGATGTATGTATATTTGTGTAATATACTTTGCCTTGGGAGGGCTGGTGGTGGTATGCACAAAATGCTTATACAAAGGAGAGAATTGAATACAGGCCACTTCTCTGACTCTCTGACTATGGAGTCATCTGAGATAAGTGGTGGGAGTAAAGAAGGTGGTGGCAGAGTTGGAGCAGATGGTAGACTATGAGCTATCACAAGAAGAGACTCTCAGCCCCCCATGCCTTCAGAGAGGCACAAGAAGGGGAGTTCGGCTAAGTGCATGAAGAAAAGCAAGGGAGGTGACTTTTAATGAAGATTCAGATGTGAGAATGAAGATGTGTGAGAAAGATAGTTCCCATGACCTTACAAGTATTGTCCCTGTTTTTAAGATCTTTCATCTCTCTCTCTCTCTTTCTCTCCGTGTATCAGTTCATTTTGTCTTGACTGTTCTATTACCATGTAATGTGGTCAAACAGTACGAATAAGACCTCTAACTCCTAAAGATCGCATCCCTTTATGCAATATTCCATTGTGCTAATTATCACAAACATATGTGCCACTCTAGAAATCTAAGTATTGAGTTCTTGTGCATTCCTGAAGAGTTTCACAAATTTCTTCTGTTGACTTCTCCTCATGTTCATGTTATCCGTGGGACCTCCTTCTTTGATAGGGTTCCCATGGTTACACAGAAACCTTTTAAATTATCTGTAATTTCTGTTATCTCACATACTTGTTCACATATATGCTAATTTATTCCCCTACTTTTTTCCCTCCCCAAATTTTGTGACTCTATTTTAGTGAAATTGCCATTTTAGAATTTGCTCTCCCCACTTTGTCAGCAATCATTGCCTATATAGAGCCTTGATCCTCTTTCTACTGTTGTATTGTAGCTGCTCTCTGATTGGCACATCACTGAACCCACTAAACATCACTACTATATCTCGTCACTAAACTCAAGTATTTTTCTTAATTATTTCCTAGCATATGAAAGTGACAGCTACCCTTTTACTTATTTGCCATTTCTTTCTTTCTTTTCTCCTGTTTGCGGTACACAGACCGAGCTTTTTAATGGCAAGTGATATATAAAGACAGTAGCAAAAGTAACATAATAATGATGTCAGTACACAAAAAGCAAATATATTCTATTGACCCTATAGGGCAGAATAGGAAGATCTGATTCACTGTCTTTCCAAGGGTGTGGTTCTGCACAGACTGTCATATTTTTCCTTCATGAAGCACCTGGTCATTTCAAATCACTGATTTTGGGTTAGCAGAAAAGCCATGTGTTTATTACTTATTTATTTTATGATGTATGGCTGCTCTATTTTGTATATTACCTCTTAATCAAATCTTTTCTCAAGACTTCAAAATTTTGATGACTCTCAAATTTTCATATCCAGTTTTGATTTTGTTTGCAATTTATTGTGACCTTTTAAAAATCAACAAATGACCTCCTAACTTCGTTATAGCTCTTAAAGGTACACAAATTTTGGTATAATTTGGTTATTTCTCATTGCAACCACTGACCTTTCCCCCTAATTTGTAGTAATAATCTATGGGCATAAGCCTTGGCTTTGACAACAGTAGCTGTGAGATCTTGGGTAAGTTAATTATTTTTGTTTGTAGAATAGTCTTAAGATGGAATCTTCTTCAGTGTGAAATACTATTCTTTGTTTTTGCAGTTCAACATTGCTTTATTTTAAATTATTATGAAAATGATAAATATTCTTTCTTGTTGTAATTCTTCATGCCCTCTCTTCCCCTGGTCCATATATTCTCTCTTTGTTTTTAACTAGCAAGCCAGGCATATGTTTTATTTTTTATAAATCATTTCATTGGGGGTTCATACAACTCTTATCACAATTCATACATCCATCCATTGTGTCAAGCACATTTGTATATTTGTTGCCACCATCATTTTCAGAGGATTTTCTTTCTACTTGGGCCCTTGGTATCAGCTCCTCATTTTACCCCTCCCTCTCCCAACCTCCCTCTCTCATGAACCCTTTGATAATTTATAAATTATTATTATTTTGTCATGTCCTGCACTGTCCGATGTCTCCCTTTACCCCCTTGTCTGTTCTCCATTCCCCTGGGAGAGGGTTATAGGTAGGTCATTGTGATAAGTTCCCCCTTTCTTCCCCCACCTTCCCCTTCCCTTCCTGGTATGGTTACTCTCAATATTGGTCCCGAGGAGTTTATCTGTCCTGTATTCCCTGTGCATCCAGTTCCTTTCTGTACCCATGTACATGCTCTGGTCTAGCCAGGTGTGTAAGGTAGAATTAGGGTCATGATTGTGGGGGAGGGGAAGCAAGCATTAAAGAACCAGAGGAAAGCTGTATGTTTCATTCGTGCTATACTGCACTCTGACAGGCCCGTCTTCTCCCCATGACCCTTCTGTAAGGGGATGTCCAATTGCTTACAGATTGACTTTGAACCTCCACTTGGCACTACCCCATCATTCACATTATGTTTTTGTTTTGGGTCTTTGATGCCTGATACCTGATCCCATCGACACCTCATGATCACACAGGTTGGTGTGCTTTCTCTATGTTTTGTTGCTTCTCAGCTAGATGGCCGCTTCTTTATCTTCAAGCCTTTAAGACCCCAGATGCTATATCTTTTGATAGCTGGGTTCCATCAGTTTTCTTCACCACATTTGCTTATGTACCCGCTGTGTCTTCAGTGATCGTGTTGGGAAAGTGAGCATCTCAGAATGCTGGATTATTAGAACAAAGTGCTCTTGCATTGAGGGGGTACTTAAGTAGAGGCCCAATGTCCATCCACTTCCTTAATACTAAACCTATAAATATATGTACATAGATCTATTTTCACATCTTCATATATAAATATACTTACTTGAGCCCTTGGAAAATGTTTGGAAAATGATGCTGGCAACAAATGTACAAATGTGCTTGACACAAAGGTTATATGTAATGGATTGTAATAAGAGTTGTATGAGCCCCCAATAAAATGATTTAAATACTTTGAAAAAAATATATATTTACATATGTACATGCCCGTATTTAGTTCTCTATAAATGCCCTTTGCCTCCTAGTTCATTCCTCTATTTCCTTTTACTTTCCTCTTGTCCCACTATCATGTTCAGCCTTCCTTTGGGTTTCAGTAATTCCTCTCGGTTACATTACCCTTGATCAAGCCCTACCAGGCTTCCTACACTCTCCTCGCCATTGATTTTTGGTCACTTGTTGTTCCCTTTATTTGTTGTTTATATTGGATCTAGCTATTGATATTTATTTCATACATATTTATAAATTCAACAGTTTTATTAACATAAAAATTCATATACCATATAATTAAATGATTTAAGCATAATTTAAAAAAGTTGTGTAGTTATCACCACAATGAATTTTAGAACATTCTCTTCATTTTTGCATTCATTATTATTAGCTCCCCATTTCCCCACAGCCTCCCTGTAACAATCCTAAGAAACTATTAATCCAATTATTGTCTCTATAGATTTACCAACCTGAATTTGATATAGAGAAAAAAGATTACATCTTCCATGCGATCACCCAATATTAGACTAGGGGAGTAGTCAGACAATGGAGAAGTTTGAAACACAGAGATATTGATAAGGGGGCCTGACACCAAGGAAGATGTGGGGAGAAGAGAATCAGTGGTTATATATGAACTATGAAGTCCGTGTGCATTGTTTTATTTCCAGTAAAATGTAAGAATTTGAGGCTGTGACCAGTGTTCACAAATTTATATGCAGGTTGTGAAGAATGTGAGTAGACACTCAAATTGATTACCTTTGACTTCCCACAGCTTTCACACCTTGGCCATTTCCTGTCCGTGACCCACCATCCTATGAGGTACTTCTACTTACAGCTCCAGGAAATTCATGATAACACTCTGCGGCCCCAATCCTTAGTTAACTTTGTCTTGAGCCTATCATACTTTTAAATCCTCTGTATGCCCTACACCAAGTTCCATTATACTCACCCTTATTTTGTGGGCTTCCAGTGAATGTAAGTATAATTGTGGGTACTGATGGGAGAATGACTTGAAGAGATATATATGCACGAGATGAAGGGCGGTTAAGAGGAGAAAAACAAGAATGGTTGAAAAAGTGGGTGAAGGGAGATGTCGGGCAGTGTAAGATCTGATAAAATAAAAATTTAAAAATGATTAGAGGTTCATGAGGAAGGGGGAAGCGGGGGGGGGGGGGGGGGAGGAAGAAAAATGAGGAGCTGATTCCAGGAGCCCCAGCGGAAAGCTAGTGCTTTGAGAATGATGAGGGCAACGAATGTATAAGTGTTCTTTACACAACTGATGTATGTGTGGATTGTGATAAGAATTGTTTGAACCCCAATAAAATGATTTAAAAAAGAAAGAAAGAAAGAAAAATACTTCAGCTTAGGAACAGAATCTGTGAATTCTGGGATTTGAAGTCATCTCTATAACTTCTTTCTTCTTTTTTTGTGTGTTTCAATGTCCTACCTTTCCTGCCCCATTCAATTCTTATCATGTACATCTACTGTGTTTCCACATTTGTCCCATTCTCGTGTTTACAGATGAAAGATCAGCCCAGGAAGTCACGTTGATAAGGGATAGTGCTTGTGGATGTGACACAACTGCTTTAGGTGAAGACAGGTAAAATGCTTTTTTTTAGTGGCTATATGGTCCTGAGAAGAAATTGAGGGGAAGTAATGCCTGCGCAATAAGAACATCTTTGAAAAATTAATCATTACGATTCTACGGCACCCATGCTATTCTTAATTTTCTCTCCTCTTTATTTTCTTTTATAATATCATTTTAGAGCACTCAGATTGACAAAGCGATGGATGAAGCAAATCACTCTGTGGTGTCAGAGTTTTTGTTTCTAGGACTCTCCAATTCCTGGGACATCCAAATTGGTCTCTTTGTATTCGCCTTCGTATTTTATGTGGCAAGCATGATGGGAAACTTCCTCATTGTCCTCACTGTGACCTCTGACCCTCACTTACACTCTCCCATGTACTTCCTGTTGGCAAATCTCTCCTTTATTGACCTGGGTGTTTCTTCCGTCATTTCCCCCAAGATGATTTATGATGTTTTCAGAAAATATAAAGTCATCTCTTTTGGAGGCTGTGTTGCTCAGATCTTCTTCCTTCACATCATTGTTGGTGTGGAGATGGTGCTGCTCATCGCCATGGCCTTTGACAGATATGCGGCCATCTGTAAGCCTCTCCACTATTTAACTATTATGAGCCCCAGGGTGTGCATTTTCCTTCTATGTGCTGCCTGGATACTTGGTTTGATCCATGCTTTGATTCAACTATTTTTTGTTACAAAATTGCCATTTTGTGGTCCTAATGTGCTGGACAGCTTCTACTGTGACCTTCCTCAATTAATCAAACTTGCCTGCATAGACACCTACAGACTAGAGTTCATGGTCATAGCCAACAATGGATCTATATCTGTGGCATCATTTTTCATATTGATCATCTCCTACATTTTTATCTTGATCACAGTTTGGAAACACTCCTCAAGTGGCTTATCTAAGGCTTTGTCTACTTTATCATCTCATATCATGGTGGTGATTTTATTTTTCGGTCCTTGCATTTTTATTTATACCCGGCCTCATTCTACATCACACCTAGACAAACACCTTGCTTTTTTTGATGCAAGTCTCACTCCTTTCCTGAATTCAGTCATCTACACCTTGAGGAACAAAGACATGAAAGCTGCAATGAGGAGAGTCTGCAGTCAACTTCTTGTTTACAGACAGATTTCTTAAATGAAAACATTAAAATTATGCTATTTCCTTATCATCTTTGAGTAACACATTATTTTATGTCAAGAGCAGGAGTTTCTAAGTGCATTACTCATAGTTAGGCATCCCAGATTAAGATAACAATTGTCTTTAAAAATGTTAATTGTGAAATTGTGTTGCTTGCTTACTGTTGAATGAAGCACGTGGTGGGGTAAGATATAGCTCCAGGAGAAGGCCAATTGCTTGTCTTTTCAGAGACCTCACTTTACTGAATTTAGCATGGTTCAGGCTTCGCAAATGAGTCTCCTTATTGTCACTGAGTGTGTTACATAAGGGATTGTGGATTACTATAATTAGAGATGAAAATATGTAACCAAGATGCCTAGTTATTAATTTGTCGAACACAAAAATATGTCTAGTGGTCTGCACTGCTGCATAGTCCCAATTCATTCTTTCACTGTAAGGAGTTGTGGTATTTAGATGATTTTGTGTCAACTTGAAGTTTTATGAATGCAGGGCTTTATATTCTCATAAAGAGCTACAGTCTCAAAAACTCCCAGGGAAAGTTCCACTCTGTCCTATCGGGTTGCTGTGGCTCAGCGTTGAGTTTAGTTTGAGTTTTGAGTTTTTATGAAAGTCGAGGGGTGAAATCCAACTTGTCAATCAGGTCACAGCCTGGTTATGCCTCTTGGAGCTGTGGCCTTCTTTTAAGAAGAAACTGGAAACTTCCCTCTCTCTTTGCTCCTTCACCTTCCTGCCTGCAGGGACTCTGCCCCTAGAGGTAGCCCCAGGTGAGTCATCGGACCTTGAGAGTTGTTGGTGTCCTGCCGTGTTCCCATCAACCTTTGATCTACATGAGTCGGCACCATTCTGGCCTGTGATCTGCCTGCACTCTGCATCGTCTTTCTGCACCATCAGTCTGCAGCTATAGGAATCTGAAGAGGCCCTGGCTTGCACTGGCCATGTTGGCCTGAGCTGCGATGCCTTCTTGATAGAAGATTATTTACAGATATAAAACTCCTTTATTTATCTATCTATTTATTTATTTATATAAAACTCCTTTTTCATACACATCTGAGTGCCCACTGGATCTGTTTCTCTAGACAAGCTGGCCAACACCACACAGCCTAATTCAAGTGTTGAGGAGAACATTGTTGTGCAATCAATCAAAGCAAGAGGAATTTGTTGAATTAATTAAATATTTAATGAAACTAGGATTTGTTAGCTTAATGCCTCTATCTCCACACTTGTATTTACCTGCTATAATGACGTGAAACATTTGACCTTTAAGCTCAGCTACACTTTTGGTTGGACACTGCTAGCTTGTCATCACAAAATTTACCATCGACTCTTGCTTGCACGATGCCAGAGATTGTACTCTGTATCCCCTACATTCTTGAAAGCATATTTTAAATTCATATAGGTAACACATTCTTCTATTAAATTCTGCTGATATAAGACAATTACATTAGAATAATTTTAGTTATAAGTAAATTCATATATTAGGATGGGTTTTATATATGAATATATTCTGTTCTAAAATAATGTTCTAAAAGAACGAAAGATAACGGACCAGGGCTCAAGTATAAAGCAAATGTTTTGAGAAGGATGATGGCAATAAATGTACAAATGTGCTTGAGACAATGGATGTATGTATGGATTGTGATAACAATTGAATGGGCCCCCAATAAAATGATTTAAAGAGAAAAAATAAAGAATGAGGAATTGACTTAGGAATAAAACTTCATACTCATTTCAATAGAGGAAAATCAAGGATCATTTTGGGGTGGAGATGTTGTCTAAAAGAATCTGAATCTTATAATTTAATCAAATTATCTTTATTTATGTTGTCTTATAAATGATCCTATTTTTATGTTATAATTTATCTCACTTGATATTACCTTTTCTTTTGCTTTCTAGTGATGTCATATCAGTATTTACTGTAGTTATTTCTTCCGGAGTTCTTTGGTGGAACATGGGAAGAGCGGTTTATAGAAATGGCATGTAAGAAAACATATTGTTTCAGAGGACATGGACTCTGTTCCAATGCACAGAGACCGTGAATGGAACAAGACACTACTTTTCTTGCATTATCCTGAAACCTTCTGTTATGTTTGAGTACAATGTTGCAGTCACTGTGTTAATCCATCTCTGGATGGACTTTTTGCTGAATTCCCCATTTTACCACTATACATATACATATATCTGAAGGGGCTTCAAAAACTTCGTGGAAAAATGAAATTAAAGGAAAAGAAAGTGCCCTCATATAGTCCATGTATGTATGTATGTATATTACAATTTGAACATTTTACTAAACCTCCCTACATTTTTTCATGAAGTTGTATTTGCACATTTCAAATTTCATGGCACTTTTCTTCTTTTAATTAATTAGTGTTCAGTAGGTTCTAGCTATTAGTAGGACCCTCTTTCTTATTGTTGATTTGTGTCAATTAACAGAAATTTCTGCTCCCTTTAGTCCTTTCTCCTGCTAGTCTTTCACATCTTGCATTTATGACATGTTACATTTATTACAGTCCTGAAAACTATGGCTGAGCAGTTTCTTTATCATTTAAGGTGATACTGTGTTAAATCCATTCTTTTCATTGTAACGAAATAACCACTTGTGAGGACATCTCCTATGTTTTCTGTCCAAATGAGCCATCTCTTCTGTTCCATTTTCCACTGTTTTAGACTAACCATGTAGATGATTGGAAAAAGACATCTTGTAGATTCCCTGTCTCTGGCTGTTATGAATTGATCTAAGTTGGACTTCTGCACTGTCATTGTGACAGTGGGATGGTGCGGGTATGCACCCCTGGTCACGATGAACTCAACCGAGCTTTTCCCAAGTGTGCCTGGTGTCTTGAATACAAGGGAAAGAAAATTGCGATTTTTTTTTGAGTCTGTAAGGTATAGAAACGGTTGGTAATCACATTTCATGCTGTATAAAATCCAATATAGGACAATGGAAACATATGAAGAAAAAATAGACAAAGAATTTACAGAGAGAAATTCAGTGGTATTTAAGCTGCTGGTTCCAGCTGTCTTGGACATTCCTTGTACTCTTGCCACCCACAAGTGTGGTTGTTAAATAGGAAATTCATCTTACTTAAATTTTGGTTCTTCCACTTATAACCAAGAGGTTATACTTGAATGCATCTTAGACCTTAGGGTGACTGCATTTTTAGTTACATCTGATATCCAATTTTCCATTGTTTTCTTATTTCTTAAGAAAATATAATTCCTTTTTATAGTAACGACACTAATTATAAAAATTTTATTCATTAATAGAAGTCACCTATAAAAGCTCTATATGGTGATAGTTATTATTATTTGTATTATATTTATATCTGTTGTCTTTCTCTGTATACATATAAATACAATTGGGATCTTATAGTTTCCACATTTTAAAAAAATTAAAAAAATATATAACATTATATTTTTATAATTCTCTCATGTTAACATTCTAGTACAACATACATTTTAATGCTGTATAAAAATTTAAATGACTATCAAATTTGTTTTTTGTTGTTCTTTTATAGTTAAACATTTATATTGTCTCCAGTGCTTCTTTTAAAATACCTTGCAAATTTACCTTTGTCCACATTTCAAATTACCTCTTTTATTGATTGATATTATTGGAGTTAATAGAGTATAATAACATTTCAGAATCTTTATTGATATTACCATTTCTCCCCAGAGAGTTACACTTGCTGAGAATACAGTATGTTCATTAGCGTACCCTGCCGAAACCTAGAATATGATCATTTATTTAAATCGTGTGTCAATTTGGAAGGCACAATAATAAAATCTTGTTTTATTTATTTTTATTACAGTTTTCCCTTTTCCATGTTATTGTTAATCGTGTCAAGAATCTAATCAAAGCAAGCTTAAAATAGTAAAACACAAAGGGAATTTATAACCTCAGATGACTGGGATATGCATTCGTGGAGTTGATCTGATGCATTCTAAGGAGTCCCTAACTCTACACCTTTGGATTTTGATCTCTAACTCACTCCTTTTGTTCTCTCTTCCTTTCCATCACTCTGTACAATATTATAGCTCTGGTTATCCACACACTGGGCCTATTCTTATCTTTTGCACATGGATTTCTTCATGTATGGTGTGGGAAGAGAGCCTTCTCTAGTCACCAGTGTTCTGTAGTAGAACTGCTCCATAGATATTCTAGACTATAAATCTTTAGGGGACCAGACCACCTTATCTTTAGTCTGAAGAACAGCTAGTGGGTTTGAACTGCTGACTTGTGATTAGCAGCCCAATGAGCAACTCACGCCACCAGGACTCCTTGGGAAAAGAAGATGCTGCAAATACAATCAAGTTTAAATCACCTCCTTAGAGCACCCTCAGAGGAAAGGGAGAGAATTTCTTTCCCAGCATCCATATTAAAAGCAATGAAAGAATCTTAATTGGCATTGGTTTATCTCCATGCCAGGTCTTTCTGAAGTTAGGGATTTTGATGGATAATCTCCTAAGAACTACATGGATTTGAGGGAAAGTGTTTCCTAAATGAAGGTGATAGGCAGGTTTGTAAGCAAGGTGAGTCCCTGCTTAGGGCATTAACAAAACAAGGGTTCCAGTCGTCCAAAGTAAAGAACCAGAGCTGCAAACCGAGAGGACACAGGAAATACAATTGCTACCGTGGAAGTGAACCGGCAGGGCACCAAATGAAATGGATACCAGCTTCAGTGCTTGAGACTGTGGTTGTTGGAACTAAGGTTCATCCAGGGACATGAAGGTGCTCACACACAAAGTTGTTTAATCTATGAACCCCTGCCACTTCAACCCCTTTGTTACCATCTGTCTCCGACAGTTTCCTTCTGTAATTGAAATAACCTATCTCAGTAAATCTCTTAAGGATATACAATTTCTTTCTAATAAATAGGTGGTGGGGGTGGGCTGCTGAGTTTAATTCACTCAGAAGGAGTGGTGTAGTGAATTACTAGTTGGGCTGCTAACTGTGAGATCATCAGTTCAAAACCAGTAGTCTGCAGGAGAAAGATGAG